CATAGATTTCGGTATCTCACCTCCAGTTCCGCTCATACTGATATATTTTTTTGAACTTTCACCGTTGGAAGTGTATAAACCAGTAATTGGGCTTTGCACCTATGGGAGAATCTAGCCCTTCTTACTATACCCGACACAAGTTTTTTTTAATATAACACGTGTGACTTAGTTAGACCTAGATCCAACTTTCCCCAGCCCACACATCAACTCACAAAGAAATGATGTTTGATCAAAAACATGCACATACACCCACACTCATGTCAATTGGCCACAAATATGATGTTACCTGTGCATATGTAATGTAAATATACAATTACAAATTCCAATGTCATGTTCAACATATCATGAGGTATATACCAATATTTTTCAACATCAATCTCAAGCATGTTATAACACATTCAATGCAAATAACACCCTTTATCAACATAGTTATTTTATTAAAACACCTTTAAGGCATAAATGTAAACACATAGTATGCCCAATCAACACATTCATCTTGAAATTTTAATAAGCAATTTTCACCAAAATCCAATTCATTCAAGAATTAATTTTAACCATTCTTATACCCATTTTCCACATTTCAACTACAATGGGTATGTGTCATACATGAGATTACATCTCTAACAACCTACCCATTTCATATTTTAATCTTGAGTTTGAAATAAATCTAATTAGGAAATGAACCCTACATCTTGAAGTATAATACACGTATTAAAGACTTCAAAATACCCAAATCAAGCTTTAAACCTTGATTCTCCAAAATTCTGATCCCGAGACTTTGGTGAAACCGAGACTTTTGGTATATAGACGTAGCTCTCGTCTCGTAAAACATGCTTTGCTCTTGGACCAAAACAATCCGAAGCACGGATCGTCCTAGATTTCAAGAAAAAGTTTGGAGATTTTGTATTCTCTCTCTCTATATTCAAAAAACCCAGCAACAAAAATAGGGGAAAATCTGATTTTTCTCACTTTTTATGGTCTCCAAATGCTTGGCTCTCATAAGCCACACGTCTCGACTTTTTGATTAGATTTTGTCCCGAATCAATTAAATTTTGTATCGTATTATGTTCAATAAATTTTATTTGAATTAAATTTAAATTATTTTTCATGTTTTGCAATCAAATCTTGATCACATTTATTTTAATCGCGTGACACCCGATCGCATCGTAAAATGAGAAAAATTCAATTGTTTCAAAATTCAATTAAAATTGACTGTGTATCGAGATTTCGGTAAATGAATCCAACGGTGAAGTCCATTTTGTCATTTGAGTTTTAGAAAAATTTAGGTTTTTAACCCGTATCACATTGGCTAATTACCATTTTACCCTTCACAATAATAAATTTTCTAAGGTTTTACATTCTCCCCCCTTAAAAGAAATTTCCCCGAAATTTACACACATATGTAAACATAACCACATGCATATGCAACAAGTCATATAACACTTTATGAAGACAAGAATGTACCTCTATCATCTAACAAGGACAAATAACTAGCACGTATAGTGTCCTTACGCTCTCATTTTGCCTCCTCCACTCCACGGCGCTACTGCAACACCTTCACTAGACTTACAGTCCTACCTTGCAAAACCTGCTCTCAGCTATCCATGAAACGCATGGTCCCTCCTCAAAGGTCCCGTCCGCATTAACAATTAGATCATTTCAATCCACCACATGCATAGGTTCTAGAGTGTACTTCCATAGCATGGAGACATGGAACACCGCGTGAACACCAAATAGATTTAGCGGTAATGTCAACCGATAAGTGATTGTGCTGACCCTCTCGAGTACCTCAAATGACCCAATATATCTCGGCGATAGCTTCCCTCACTTGACCACTTCCCTCTTAGGCATCACCTTCAAGAAGACATGATCTCTAAGCTCAAACTCCTGAGGTTGTTGTCGCTTATTGACGTAGCTCTTCTGCTAGCTCAGAGTCATGAGAAGACACTTCCATATCAAGTCTATCTTCTCCAAGGTGTCTCTGACCAAGTCTAGACCTATGTAAGGTCTATCTCTAACTTCCATTCAACAAATTGGAGAACGACACGAACTCCCATAAAATGTCTCATAGGGTGTTATATGTCTGCTCGCTTGATAACTGTTGTTGTAAGCCAACTTTACCAAGGGTAAGTGCTCTTCCCAACTACCCTTGAAGTCAAGGACACATGCCTAAACACATGTCCTCCAAAGTCTGGATGATTTATTTTGACTAACCGTCCGCCTGGGGGATGAAAAGTTATGCTCATCATCAACTATCTTCCCATAGCCCACTAGAAACTCTCCTAAAAATGGGTCGTGAACCTGGAGGCCCAATCTGATACTATAGATACAAGTACCCCATGTAACCGGACTATCTTACGTATGTACAATCTACAGAATTTCTACAGCGTGAAGGTCATCTGAATAGCCAAAAAGTGTGCTGACTTTGTAAGCTGATCAACAATCACCCACACCGTATCATGCCAACGCGATGTCCGTGACAAATGGGAGTGACGTGCTCCCATTTTCACTTAGCCACCTCCAAAGGTTGGAGTAACCCTACTGGTCTTTGGTGCTCAATCTTGACCTGCTGACACGTGAGACATCTACTAACAAAGTCTCCAATATACTTTTTCATATCGCTTCAATAGTACTGGCGGCAGAGATCATGGTATATCTTTGTACAACCTGGATGCACAGTAAAACGGGAGCAATAGAACTCCCTAAAAATCTCCTCTTTCAGATCTATCAACTAGGAAACCACAATTTTTCCCCTAAACCAAAGATTACCATATGTGTGAATGACCCACCCCTCGTCACTCACACCTAATTATACCCAGTCCTTGATGGACAATATCTCTATATTCTGGTCTTGGGACTTGATCACTCTGCTCAATAAAGAAGGTGTAACCACTAAACTCCCCAACGTGCCATAAGTCTGACCCCTGTATTGTAGCCCGAACTGCCCTATAGTCTCGAGTATCTACCATTCCTGAGAAGCTATACTAGCTAAGAATCCTCGTGACTTCTGGTTGAGTGCATTAGCCACCACATTTGTTTTATTAGAATGATAATTCAAAGTGCAAAGTGAAGTTATAATCCTCCAGGTACTCCATCCATCTGCATTGCCTCATATTGAAGTTCTGCTATGTAAAAATGTACTTCAGACTCTTGTGGTCCGAAAATACCTCAAACTGTTCTCTATACAAATAGTTGCGTCATGCCTTCAAGGCAAAGATGACAACCGCCAACTCCATATCATGAATGAGATAGTTTCGTTCGTGGCTCTTCAACTGTCATGAACCATAAGCTACCACCCTTCCGGACTGCATCAATACACATCTAAGTCCGTCCTTTGAGGTATTACGACATCCGTGTACCTCTGTCCCCTCTCCAAAGTCTGTGAAACTAACACCTAAACATTCTTTAACAAATAAATGAACTTTATTTAAAAGCTAAGGAACAAATCAATAGAAATTGAATTAAGAACCTCATACATGCTTTAGTGGTGGAAGTGAGGCTTACTGATGAATCATAAGATTGGAGCAACAAGTAGCAACTTAAAACTAACAATATTTTTCACCGTCATTATTGAAGGAAGTCAATCGTTACCATCTTGGCCAGACAAACCTAGGCATTTTGTATTTTCTTGCGATGAATTTTCTCCTAGTGTAATATATAAAGCATGGATTGTTCACTAAAAAAGTGACATGAATCAAGAGAGAGAAGATAGAGAGAGATGTGAGTCGCCAAAAAATCAAGTATCCAATATACAAGCTAAGAAAAAGAGAGAAAGAATGGGTTACTTGAGAAGCTATTTGGACGTTCGCCCCAACAAGAGAAAGTGAAGAGAGAACACGAATGAAATTATAATTAATTAAAATAGAAGCAGACCCAGTTCTAAAAGGTAAATGTGTACCTTTGAGGGATTTTCCCATTTGTGTGTGTGTGTGTGTGTGTGAGAGAGAGAGAGAGAGAGAGAGAGAGAGAGTTGAAGGGGTGAAGTAACATCCGGTGTATGCAAGGCAGTAGTATCACTATTCAAGTTCTATTAATTTTCCTTCCAAGATACAAATGTCTTAATTGTATTGTTTATGGGCTATAAAAGGAAAAAGAAAAGTTTTGAAGATTAGTTAACATTTTATATTAATATAGAAAAAATATATAGAATGTGAAAATTTTATACACAATGATCATTGAGAGAAAATGTAAAAAGTCTATCTATTCAAGTTTTATCTATTACCTTCTAAAAGTTGCATTAAGTATACAAAGAAATGATCCTATTTTTTCTCAAGTTGTGAAAATATGAGGATGACATTGTCTTTAAAGCATTAAATAAGGTTAAATCAGGATGAAAATTTTTCATGTTAATAGACTTTTAGGAGTAGTATAGTATAGATATAGATTTGACAAATTATCATACTCCATTAAACTTATGTAACACTTTTGAACAAAAATCAATTTTTTTTAAGCATTATGGTAATGAAACAACCAACACTTTACCAATTCTTTCAACTCTCTAACATAGTTTTTTAGACATCAACTCGTGTTAGTGATTTGCATGCAAATAGTTATTGATTTGTTTTTAGATTTTATGACCTTTCATATAATGATATTCTACAATTAAAATCTAATGGATAAAAGTTGAATGGAAATAAAATTAAGACTTTTTAAAAATAATATTGATAAAGTAAAACTTAATTTTGTCATTAATAAAAATAATAGGACTTAATGGTTCTGTTGTCACACAAATAGTAAGTTTTGGTATCTCTATGTCATTTTGCAAATATTTATGGATGATCGCGTTATTTTGTAATAAATTGGGGGGTATCAGTGTAATTTCCCTTATAAATCACCAAACTCGGTTCTCTCTCCTAGTTCCCTGTTCGCTCGAAACACGACTCGAAGATTTAGGAGACGAGAGAGAGAGAGAAGAAGAAGAAGAAGGAGGAGGAGGAGGATAGAAGAAGAAGCAGGAGGAGGGTAGAAGAAGAAGCAGAGAAGAAAAAGAAGAAGAAGAAATGGGGGTTCCAATGGCAGGTCGAGTGGTGGTGGATTCGCTAAGTGAGAGAGCAGCTATGATGAGAGAGTCACTGCAGAAGAGCCAGTCAGGCACAGACAACATGGTCTCCATTCTTGGCTCCTTTGATCACCGTCTCTCTGCTCTCGAGACCGCCATGCGCCCCACTCAGGTGAACTATTCTGGGTTTGATCTGGTCAACTTAGGCAGCCTTGTATCTGGTAACCGAGAAAACTTCAAGGAAAAGCAAGACATTATTTTTTTTTCAAACTATAGAAAGAACCCCATTAAAAATTTTGGATCTAATTCGTGCTCCTGTATTTATGGTTTTAATTAGATCAGCTTACCCTTTACAAGGTTTGCTAAGAAACCCAAAAGGAAAATGGAAAACAAGTAGAAAAAGCTTGATTTTGACACTCCCTGTTCTCCTATGTTAGTTGGATACAATAATTGATAACTTGGCAAACTAAGTTAAATTATTGTCTTGATTTGTTTCCTGAGGTCTTGATGTGGAAAATGGAAAATTTTTAGACTTGGTTTGCTAAGAAATCCAAAGGAAATTGGAAAAGTAGAAAAAGCATGATTTTTACACCCCTTTTTCTCTATGTTCTTTATACGGTAATTTATTAATTGGGAAACTAAGTTAAATTGTTGACTTGATCTATTTCTTGAGGTCTTGATATGGAAAATGTTGGATTTTTATTTCTGATTTATTTTCTAATTTTCTTTCCTAATGTACGAAGTTGTCAAATTGTCCTTTTGACGTTGTCTGCTTGAATCGGAGTGCTGCCTCACTGATAGTATTGGGATCGGTACTTGAATTTGGTTTTTGTAGATTAGAACACATGCTATTCGCAAGGCTCATGAGAACATAGATAAGACTTTGAAGGCTGCAGAGGTTATATTGGCTCAGTTTGATGTTTCTCAGCAGGTTGGCTTTTTGAACTATTCTATTATTCATGCTTGGTTGTGTCATTTCTTTACTTGGGCTATTCCTTAGATTTTTTGTTTTTCATTTTTTTGGTTGTATGGGGTTTGAACCATGGGTACCAGAGTTCACTAAACTCATGACGACCCATGATCTAGGTACATCGATTTCAAACGGGGTGAGTTCGAGATCCAGATCGCTAAATTGTACGATCTAATCCTAAATCAATTCGCATTCGAATATTCAGCATAAATATAAAATACGTATTAATTGACTACATGCATATAAATTTATAATTATATAATAGAAATCAAGTAAAATATCATATAAATGGTAACTGACTCACTATTTATAGATGTTTTATAACATATAATGTTGTATAGTAGTGAAAACAATCTAGATAAGAGTCTTAAAACGAATTGCGACCCAAAATAATGTACCAACTAAGCCTACTCTCATCGTACAACCTTGGTTTGAACTTTATTGACTTGAATATTGTATGTTATTACTTTTGGTTGAGTGATCACGGATCACTATTTTCATGGTGTAAATTGATAGTTGGATGACTGGCAAATACAAAAGGCACACAAAAGGACAGACCCATGTATATGCATAGGAATAGAGCAATATATTGATCTAAAAGATAATCTTGTTGATCTTTGTGTATATACGGACACATATTGTGAATTGGGAGTTGAAAAAGATGCGTTTGGTAGGAGGATGAAAAATTGAAAGGAAAGCCTGGTAGAATGGCTTGATTTTCCATCCTTAATGGAAAGAAAATTCTTTCTTTTATTTTTGTTCAGTAAGATAGATGGAATTTGAGGGTTAAGTTTTCTATTGTTTGATATTGTAAGGAAAGGGGAGGGGGAGAAAAGTATACATATATAGATTGCCCTCCGAAAAGTCTGCAGGTTCAAATGTGGCTGACCTATTTATTGTCAACAAGCTTCAGTATAACCTGTCTCACGTGATTACCGCCTCCATTCAATGCTCTCCATTCAACTTTATTGTCAGAATGGTAAAACAGTGAAATTGATCCTTTGTTCCCAGGTGTTTCTTCCTTTCCCTTCATTTCTGCTTCCAACTGGATTGAAAAATTCTGGTGGGAGGAGCTGAAAAGGTTTCCCTTTCACTTTTCTCTACCTCCTATTCTCCTTTTGAACTAAACAAATGAAAACCATGATGTCCTTCTCACTTTCATCTCCTCTTTCTCATCCATCATTTTTTCCACCATACCACTTGGGGGTTTTCAACTTTCTTTATGCTCCTGACTTTAATTGAAAGCTACCTTCATATAGAGGTGGAATTTTTGAAGGAAGCATGTTGTAGATGAGTGAAGTACTGGATTCAATTAATTGGAGATCCAAGTTTACTCCTTGGAACATCTCTCAAGTTCAATATCATGTTTCGGTATAAACTATAAAGTTTTCTATAAAAAGGGTGGCCCTTTGAATTTTTTGGGAAAATCATATCATACTACTTATAAAATTAGGGATTAGAATTAGTAATAAATAGGTATGGGTTCCTTGGATACAGTACTCTTGTATTAAACTAACATCTCTCTCCCTCTCATTATGGCATGAGGGAAGGTGAGGTGTTTATCTGAGGAGCATAAATGTTCTTTTTTTATTTTTTTTGTTGGGGATAAATTTTCAGTGTCTTTTTACATTTTGGACCATAGTTATCAAATTGCGTATTGGAAAGCGTATCGTTTTTAAAAAACAGTGTATTGTATTATGTATCGTAACTCGTAAGATACGTGTAATTTTAATTTTTAAATAATTAATAATATATATATATATATATATATATATATATATATTTCTTTATAAAAAAGTCATAGACTTATAACAACATAGCATTTCATTAATATTTCACTAATTATTCAAGTTCCAACATAGTTCAGTAATATCAAAATGCAAAGACCTTTAATTCAAACTTTTAACATCAACTACTTGAACAACTTTAATATTAATCAGGAATTTTGAATTCAATTGAAGAACATTAACAATAAACTTTATTTTTTTTTTAAACCATACCACTGAAATGACGTTTCACTGGTTAGTTATTTAAAAATAAGTCCTTAAACGATGTTATTTCAGCTTTAAAAATCAAAAAAAAAAAATAATAAAACAAAATCGTCATGTATCTTACGTATCGTATCGTATATCATATGATACGGTGCAAAAACGATACAGAATCACGATACGTATTATTTTTCTAGTGCATCGTGACGTATTGTACGATACGTATCGCGTATTGTACGATACGTATCGCGTATCGTACGATACTAATAACTATGTTCTGGATTTTTTTTTATGAGGCATGCCCACAAGTTGAGAGAGAAGACATTTATTGTTTCATAATTCCATGCATTAGCTTTATGTATTTTTATCATATCTGTCTAAAATGGTTACCAGATTTCCTTAAATGGAATGATGCATTTTTCAATCACCTTGCATGTTGTGGACAGATTAATAAGTGTTGGTTTAGGAAATGTGCACCATGTATCAGTAGTATAATTCATGCAGTATTCAATTGACTTTTATTCAACAAAATCACATCTGCATAATATGTGCATTAGAGGACCTTCCTAATATTAATTCATATTGACAACTAGTCTTTGCATTAGTTCACAATCATCAGCAGAATCATCCTCTTTCCCATCTCCTTAACTTTCACATAAGGCGAGTTTATGAGCTAATACCTAAGAAGTAGGGGCACGGACATGCCAAGATGACATTTCTCAAAAAAGTAGGACACGCATATGTTGGGGACACGCTATAAAAAAATTATATTTTATGTATAACATTATATAATTTATTACAAATGTAGTGATAATGACATACAGTTCAAAAAAGAATTCAATATATCTGTGTAAATTTTTAGACTAAGGCATCCTGTCAATAATCAAATATATAATTTAAATAATTGCTCTCATTTTCTTAATTTCTCTTTTTTAAAATTTTTATGCATCTTTTGTTTTTATTATTATATTTGAAGTACAACTTTAACATGTCTAGTGTTAGTAATTATATGTTTTCAAATTTTAAGATTTGATAATTACATTTCAACACATGTTCATTGTTTAATAATAGACACGTTCTAAAGAAGTGTTGAACACATCACCAAAGAAGTGCCTGAAATTAAAATTTTATCATTTAATTATGGACATGGATAAAAAAGTATCAGATACATGTCTAAAGAATGTCAGTGTCCGACACAAATAGGTCACCTTCTCGAAAGTGTATGTGCTATATAGGCTAATACAACTGGGTTACTTTTAATATGTAGAGACAACCTGACGTAAAGCACTAGGGCCATCCACATAAGAATAGGTTTGAATTAAGATAACCATGTTTCTTACATGAATGTTACTTTGTAGTATTTTGTGCACTGTAAATTTTGTTTTCTTATTTTTCAATTACATAATTTTACTAATTTATCTCACGCTTAAATTTTTTTCTAACTAATTCATTAGCCTTTTAATTAAAAGTTTCTTTATTTGCTTCTACCTTGTTCTAATTCTTGTCTAGTTCCAGTATTTAACAATATCTAGTCGGTGGGCAACTTGCAACATGGGAACTCATACTACAAATATGTTAATGATTGATCAGTTTGTTCATGGCCATGCACACTAAAAGGCTTCATTTCATAATCCATGCTCCCCAATTGTAATGCAAAATCTAACAACTATGGAGTTATTGTCATGCTAGTTTATCCAGTCTATCAAAAAACTATATTTCTATTAAGCAAATTTCACATGAAGTTTGGTTAGATTACCTTTTTGTGGACATTTTTTATGACTATTCCAGAGTTGGATTAAAGCTTTTTTGAGCTTAAATGTTTTGTGGTTGGAGAGGGTAATAGCTAGTTTATTATGTGGATGGAGATAATAGCATTGAAGTAATATGTTTATAGGGAGATGGTAAGTAGCATCACACCTTTGGCGTCTAAAGCTAGTGAAAGAAAAGTTGTGGGACGTGTTCTCATAATATCAAGTTACTCTTGAGACATGATTTCAAGAAATGTAGTCATAGGAGAATAGTTGTGATTTTCTTGTCTAGGTAAAGATTTTTTATGGATCTATGGACTGTTTACTGGTAAGAGTTTTTCCACAATGTTGTGTTTTTTTTTGGGTATGGGAAAAGGGTAAAATGGCTGGGTATAGAGAATCGCTAATTTCCGGTCAGGTTGTTTTGTATTTGATGGACAGCGTTCATGGATGTGATTTTACCATATACATTATGTTGCACCCCTTTTCTTGAAAGAATTTTTTTTGTTTTTTTAATGGTGTTGTTTGGGTGGCAATATGTGGAGCAGTTTTTGTTGGTCTATTTGAAGTGAACAGAATGGGATTTGTGTGAATTGGTGCTTTTTGTGTATGAAGACTAGATACAAGGTGGGCCAATTGTTTTTTAATTATGAAGCGGCTAAAACACAATAAAGCCTCCTATGATGTTGTCATCCAGAACGTGATTAGAGGCAAGGATTAAAATTTCATTTTAGTGTATAGTTTTGGTTACTTTAGAAATGGAAACATTTCGATAATGTTTTAGAAACGATTTGGAAACAAGATGGAGGAAATAAAGAAAAATTTAGAAAATTTGTTTCTCAAACATTGATCGAAACACCTCAAGACATGAAAATTTTGATATTCAATCAATCGTCTCGGTTCCAAGGAAACAGAAATGTTTCGAACGTTTTGAAACGAAATTTACTTCCTTGATTAAAGGGCTTTCAAAGTGTTGGTCCCTCTCTTAGAGAGAACTTAGATGTGGGATACACATTTAGGCATAGATAGAGAGGATAGACAGTAAATGGCACATATATCTATTGGGTTGTCCCTTTCTAATGGATTTAGTTATGCTACGAATTTAGGTCGGTCCACCCTTGATGTTTGCCAAACAAGAAAATCTATTTGCCACAACTCCCATATGGCATGTGCTACCAATTGGTGACAGTTGACCCTTAGAGGCATCTAGTGTATTCTCTCAAGAAATGTCCCCATATAACTTCTAAAGGGCTCATATATGCTCAAGCAAAAATCTAATGCTTTGCATTCTCCTGTTATTGCATCTATTTTACCCCAAAATTGGAATGATATTATTTACTAGCGAGAAATGATGACATTTGTCATTAAAAAGCTGAAGAAAACAAAATAACATGCTACACTAGATTATAGCTTTGCAAAATGAGTAACGAGTATATAAGTGATGCCCTTATTTTCTGCAGTGCTCTCTCTTATTCCCAGAAAGTGTATGTACCCTGGGGCAAGGATCAAAATATTGTTTCGAAACATTAGAAACGTTTTCGTTTCCAAGGAGACCGAAACGAATAAGTGGTGGAATCGAAATTTTAATACTTTGAGGTATTCCATAATGTTTTGAAATATTTTATTATATTTCAATGCATTTGCACAATTATTTCGGAATGTCTCAAGGTATTTCAAGATATTTTGACATATTTCGATCAATGTTTTGAAAAAATAATTTTAAAATTTTTATTTTTTTTCTATTCTGTTTTTGAAACGGGTCGAAACGTTTTCGAAACATGTCGAGACGTTTCTGTTTTCAAGATGACCGAAACAATGCACCGAAACGAAGTTTGGATCCTTGTCTTGGAGTCAATACTTAGATTGCCTTGTTGGCATATTAAGATTTGGCTAGAAAACCCTTGAAATAAGTTAATTAATAGATCTGCAATTTTGATCGTTCAAGTAGTTTTCCGGTATATACAGTTGAATGATCAGTATAAATTTTGATAATTTTCTTTTAGGTTGCAGATGTTGAGAACTAGCCCAAACCCAAGTGATAGGATAATACCGGCTTGTTAGAAAAGTCAACCATGCCTGTTTTCTCGATAGAGTGGTGGGATTTTAGATCCCACAATTCTTTGGTATCCATGCTATTTAGCAGGTGCACTAGGTCACCGTCTGTATTTGATACATCAATCACAAAGGAGATTAATTTACTTGAGCCATTGAGTAGATAAATGGTGAATCAAGGAGATTTGTCTTTGGATTTTTAATTCGAGTATCGATTTTGGTATAGATGGCACATAAACCTAGGGTATGTTTGGTTTAGGTATTAAGGGGTTGAATTTGATTAATTTAATCCGGTAATAATATAATACTAAGTTTAGATGAGATTATAGTGACTCGGTATTAATTTTAATTAATCTCGACCCGGTTCACTATTGTCATTTAACACCTAATATTAGGTAGTAATGAATACCATCTAGTAGGTGGTATTATTTTTAACAAGCTAAGTATTAAAAATGCAATAACTTTATTATCCTTGCAAACTAGTCACACCTTCATATAAAAGTTACATATTATAAAAAAATTTATCTTCAATATTTATTTTGTCATTTTTTATTTAATACCATTCACTATTACTTAATCCAAACATAAATTTGGTGTTATAATTATTGATTTATATATTATCCCAACTTTAATCCAAACTTGTTATAAAATGATAAGATTAAATAATACTACATTTTATGGATTGGATGGAAATTAATTACCTAATCCCATCCTTTATTTGTACATGAACCAAACAGGCCCCTAAATTGCACGGACTGCAATAAAATGTTGTCAAGAATGGTGAACAGTTATTATGGAGGTATCATACTGTTATGCTTTAAAGATGTCTACTCTAAAATTCAAGTTCAATCCTACTCTATTACCCCTCTTCAGCTTTACAACTGCAGCATCTTTCATTTTCTGGGGCAAATACTTCTTTTACCATGTATTTTTCTTGCTTATGGTTGCTGATATTTTTACTATTCTGATATGTAGGCTGAGGCTAAAATACTAAAAGGGCCACGTGAGGATCTGGAAAGTTATCTTGAAGCAATTGAGCAGCTAAGAAGCAACATTCGATTTTTCAACAACAACAAAAGCTTTAAGAGTAGTGATGGGGCGGTCAACCATGCAAATAACTTACTTGCTAAGGCTATTTCGAAGCTGGAAGAGGAGTTTAAGCAGCTCCTATCATCTTACAGGTTCATTCTGGTCTTAATGGCGCCTTTGGTGTCTTGTCTCTGGTAGATATCCCGTTTAATGGTGCTTTTGGTGTTTGTGTTGCTAAAATGTTACCCATTGCTCCATTGTGTGGACGTCAAGTATTTGAGTAACAGAAACTACCTCTCCACATGCGGGGGTAAGACAGCCTTTGACCTTCCCCAAACCCCGCAATGGGGGAGGTCTTGTGCACTGGGCTATCCTTAATATTGCACCTCGTGCTCATCAATTGAACTCAAGAAAACCTTGTTCCAACTAGTTTGGTTGTGTACGTGAACCATTTTTTCTACTCCACTTTATGCAATCTTTTTTTTAAGACATTCAATTAAGTCCTTGTTCTCCAATGTCCCTTGACTATTACAAGCATGTAGGAAATTTGCCTTGCATAGTGTTGATGTCTCTTATAAAAGGATTTAGTATTGAAATTATTTTTCTAAATAAAAAATCACTTTAAACTAAACGTGGAGTAGTTTGTGGTGCTACCATTCTAGGTTTGAAACTTCTTCCATCTTATGATTTTTTGAATCAATTTATTCCTTCTCAGTTCTTGAATTTGTTATTTCTGTGCTTTATTTATCAACTTTCGCATGCCTTTTTTTTTTTTTTTATGTTTACTCATTTTACATGTGCTTGGACATGGACAGTCCTTTTAGCCTTTTAAGTATGCTATAATTATTTTGCCTTTGTATTCGGCATTTACAGCAAACCTGTGGAGCCTGATCGTCTTTTTGAGTGCCTTCCCAATTCACTGAGACCATCTTCTGGATCGCCTGGACACCCAGGTGAATCTGGTGGCAAGAATCCTTTATCCAATAGTCATTCTGAGCACCAAAAAAATGGCTTGGAAAATGCTGTTTACACCCCGCCAACTCTCATACCACCGCGGATTCTGCCGTTGCTGCATGATTTAGCCCAACAAATGATTCAAGCTGGCAACCAGCAGCAGTTGCTGAAAATATACAGGTGCCTGCCTGAATTATTATATTGTGTAGGGCTAATAAATCTCAAGTGTTCTTCATTCAGTATTAATTCCATTTATTCTGCATGTGAAATCAAACATTTATCCTTGCTGTGGAATACCTAAGTTGCATCAACTGAATTTATCTTTTGGCTGTGATAAGCCACTTCTCCTACGAATAAGCAAAATTAGTCAATTTAAAGCTTAGTCATATTGGACAAAAGTTGCATTAACCATTGGTATGTCATCCACTTTGGAAACCCAAAGCTTAAGACTATTGGCCCCAAGCCAAGGAAGAAACGTTTTGTTTCAAACGGAAGTGGCTTGGGTGTTGTATTGTGGGGTTATTTTTTTTTTTTAGGTAAATGAATCTTTGTAATAGTTTCAGCAGGCCTGGCTTTGATCCATGGTTGAAGTATCAATTGATTCTGTTACAACGCGGCCAAGTCGTAATCGATTCGGCTCACCGTTGTTAGACTTCATAAATCACGAGTCTGACGGAGACATCTTGGACTGATCTGCTGAGTTGTCTGAGTCACCATTTTGTGACGTCGCAATATGACTTGAATCTTTCACATTGCTTCTAATTTTTCTCTATCTAGCATTTCTATGCATTGACCTATTCCTACGCAATGCCTTCTGAGTTGATGGCCAATACAATGACATTAAACCATGAATGGACCAGATTTGGGTCAAGTCTTAGTCGGATTAATTCAAATTTGATTTGAAAATTGCTTTTCAAATAGGATCAAAATACTATGACTATCATTTCCAGAGTCCATATTAGAATTTGTTAAGAATTTGGTATCCCATCTGATTCGAATCACTCAGTTACAGTTGAATTTTTTTGTAAAATGCTATTGAATATAATTCAATTTCTCCATATAACCAATAGTTTCAATTGAATTATTGCTTGTTCAGAAATTGATGCATATATGTTAGTGAAATCAGCCCCTGTTTACTGTTATCAGCCTGTGTTTGGAACTTATGGAATGCTGAATCCTTAATGATGTTTGAAATTCTAGCATATGTTTTGGAGTTCCTGCATTAGGCTGGTGTTTTGAAAGATATTTGCATGTTAAAACTTGTGTGGGTGTGCCTCCCTTTGAAGGCAATTGCTTCGCCTTGCACCTTGCACCTTGCACCTTGCACCCTGCACCCAGGCCCTAGGGGACCTTGGTGGCTTAGTGCACCTTTGGCATTAAATATCCTTTTATTGCAGCCTCTATACTAGTTCCCTGATCTGCATAGTGCAGTCTAAATATGACCTGATGTTGGCTTGGATGTTAGCTATCTCTGGTTAATTTTAGCAAAGATCTTCAAACCTATAGGACTATTTGAGAAGCAGCTGACACACATGAAAGAGATTGAAGATCAGTCTGTCCGAACTGTTGCTGCAATGATTTGTTATAATAGTGTGATTCATGAAATCTACTCATGATAAGTGTTTGATTTAAATTTTCTGATTGTTTATATATATTCAAATAGGGATACTCGTTCTTCAGTTTTGGAGGAAAGCCTCCGCAAATTAGGAGTGGAAAAACTTAGCAAAGATGATGTTCAGAAGATGCAATGGGAGGTTTTGGAAGCTAAGATTGGGAATTGGATTCATTTCATGCGGATTGCTGTAAGTTTTCTGTGGAATTTGCTCTAACATGTGAATATAGGTTTTCAAATATCTAATTATGCTTGAGCAGGTGAAATTGCTGTTTGCTGGGGAATGGAAAGTTTGCGATCAAATATTCGAGGGCATTAATTCCCTCAGGGATCAATGTTTTGCTGAAGTTACTGCAGGCAGTGTTGCAGTGCTACTTAGTTTTGGAGATGCGATTGCCAAAAGCAAGAGATCGCCAGAAAAGTTATTTGTGCTTTTGGACATGTATGAGATAATGCGAGAACTTCACTCAGAGGTATGCTTGATGTTAATACCTCCAAGAAAGCAAGTTGTTTGCTATTCTTGACAAAATCAAAGCTGGGGGAAATGGAAAAATTAAATACTTCCGAGTTTCATTGAACATAAATGTTATTAGATGTTCAAATCACCAAGAAAAATAATAGGTGCTGAAGAAAATATTCTCTTAGAAATGGTTTCTTAATAAACTTGCTGGTTTCTTCTATGCTGCCCGAGCATGTGTCAACAAAACTACACAGTTGGAAGGCCTATTGTATCTTGGTGTTTGGAAGATTGATAAAACAGCTATTCTTGCATATGAAATTGAAGGAAATATGGAATAGATGGAGAACACATGTTTTTGTACAAAAAGAAACTTTCGAGGAATCAACACTTGTTTCCGTATATTAACTCAATATATTACATCAGTTAGTTAAATAGACGGTGCATAATGAGGGAATTATTTTGGTTGTGCTCTTATACATTAATAAATCATTATGTAGTAAGGAGAAGGATTCTTTGATTGTTAGAATTGCAAAACGGATTTCCTTTTATGATAAATTGCATTAATTCAAGTCAACTGACATATAGGTGTACTTACAACTTGAAACCTGAATGCTTGGCAGCTTGAAATGCTTTTCAAAGGTAAAGCATGCGACGAAATTAGAGAGTCTGCATTGGGTCTGACGAAGCGACTTGCTCAGACAGCCCAAGAGACCTTTGGTGATTTTGAAGAAGCAGTTGAAAAAGATGCAACTAAAACTGCTGTGTCAGATGGAACCGTCCATCCTTTGACAAGCTATGTGATCAATTATGTGAAGTTTCTATTTGAGTAAGTCTGGTGGAATTTTTTTTTTTTTTTTTGGCTTGGAAGTCTGGTGCACTTAGTTTTGTATAAATAGTTTTATCTCATGCATTATATAGTATGTACTCATGTGTGTTTTTTTTTTTTTTTTTGGGGGGGGGGGGATTATATGTATGTGTGTGTTTGTGTGTGGTAGTCTAAGAAACACGGATATCGACATGTGTGTCGAATCTGATGCGATACGGATATGGGGATACGGCAAAATCATATATATATATATATATATAACAACAACATTAATAATAACTTTAATAATTTGATTCGGAAGAAGATGTGGAGATAAGATCCAAACCTTAAAACCCTAAAATATCCCCCAAAATTTGAAAACCCTAAAACCCCAACCTAATCAAATTAACAAACCAGCAAAATCATTGCACAATAGAAACAAAACCCAAAAAAAAAAAGAAAAAGAAAATGAATCTGGTACACAGCACAAGAAGTAGCAGCAGATCTGGAGAACTGGATGGTGGACACACAGCAGCAGGTAAAAGCAGATCGCAGTTGCAGGTATGGACTCTTTCCTCTCCTCCTTCTTCTCTTCCTCTTCTCCTCGTTGCCGAAGCAGATCTGGTGGAGTGGTTCGATTGAAGCCTTTGGTCTCCTCTTCTCTCTCTCTCTCTCGCTCTCGATTCTGAACTGGTGGAGGGAATGAACAACAATCAAAGCTTAATCAGTTTTCCCTTTTTTTTTTCTTTTTGCAGCCCTAAAAACAACGCCTTTACTCGTTTGTTCTTCTTTCTTTTTTTTTTCGTTTCAGCCCCTCATTTTTTTAAAAATAACTGAAGAAACCCTACCATATCCCCATGTATCTGACCATATCCGAGCCCAAAAAATGTGTATCTCCTGTTTAGGACACTTTTGGAAGTGTTGGACACCCGTCCGACACTGCCACTGCGACCCCCCAGCCAGTATCCGTGCTTCCTAGGTGGTACTGTATATATATATATATATATATATATATATATATATATTAAATTCAGGTTGCAGTTTCATCCATATCAGTCTTATGTTGCCAAGTCTATTGCTACTTGTTTTGATAAAATAAGAAATAAAACAAAAAATATATCTTTATTTATTGAATTGTTCCTTGTAGCACATGATGAACCTTTGAGGAGAAACCTATGAAGTATGGATATGAGATACGGGTACGATACGGATACGGAGATATAAAAAAAAATTAAAATAGTAGGATATAGATACAACCATAATACATTTATAATAAAATATATTTTATATATTACTATTATCTTCCAACTTAATAATTATATATTTTGGTAATTCTTTAATAATAACTAACAAAATTAGTAATTTTTTACTTTTGAAACGTATATAACGGCTCATTATGGTATTTCACAAAGTGAAGGCGAGTAATTAAAGAAATTAGAACCAATATTTACTTTGTTGATTTGCTTAGAAGTATTTGTTGCTAAGATTATAGGATAATAAATTCATGTTATGCTCTTTCAACATGTAATAGTAAATAATACATAAAAAAACTCATCTGTCTTCAAAGTCATATAAATTTTTATTGATGTATTGCATTGTATATAAATTCGAAAGGAGATGATGAAGATATTGTGCCGATACAAAAGTATCTATAAGGTATTCACATATTTTATTATTATCGAATACATAAGGGATGTATCCGATAAGGATGCGTTGACCTCAGCGAAGTATTCGTGTTTTATAGCGAGGAATATATTGTGAGGCACATTGCATGATAATAAGTTTGGGAAATAGTGATAAATACTACTGATATTTCTATGCAATCGAAATTCCTGCAGAACAAAGAAAGAAATTAACATCTTAAAGTTTGGGAATTAAGTGGCGAGATTCGAAAATAAAATTTGGTGTCCATTAAGAAATCTGTGGAGATCTTTGAGAAACACATGATAGGACTCTATTTATTTTATAACTGAGTTCTATGATTATACGTGCCTAAGGTCATGTTGTATTAGCCATCTATAGGTACACTTAAGAATTAGTATTTATCAAACGAAAATGATGGGTTTGAGCATTTTGATCCTTAGGAGCAAAGCTTTAGATGAAAAATGGAAAGATTTTCAAAACACTTGTGGTCTAGAGCAGATATGATCTCCAACGGCTAGTGGAAGACGTGCGTCCCATGCATATAGGGATTGTTATCAAGGTTATTGAATATCATTGTTTGAGAAACTTGTGTGTACACTTTTCATTGGTAGTGGGTTTGTACTCAAATTCATGGAGGGCTTTTAGTGGTGTAATTTCTTTTATTTTACTATTATGTAAATAGTATTGGTGAGTTTATACTCAAATCACAATAGAATTAGGACCTTTACTTTAATTGAAATCTGAATAATGCAGAAGTTTTGGATGAAATGCAATTTCTTGGTTTTTGAGTGTGATAGAGATAGATATATGGGTTTCTAGAGAGAGAAACATTTTCCTGAAGACAAATTAAAAATTGGGTTGTGGAAAAAAATATTTAAGAGAGAGAGATGATACACATGGGTTTTTTTTATAAATTTTTTTAAATATATACGTATCTATCACATGGAATCGAATTTAAAAGTTCAAGGGCAAAATGAAACATGTTAAATATGATTTCACTAGGAACTCCATGATGCCCTTTTTGGAACACTTACGCAATCGTAGGTAGCATTCTTGTTGAATTTGTGACAGAAACTGACGAAGAGCAAAACTAAAGCATGTTATAGAATTTGAGCACTAAAATGAGTGCATAAATTTTTTAGATTGCAAATTAGAATAAGGGGTAGAGTTCATTGGGGCAACAATGTTTTGATCCTATATTTTATGCAGTCATGAGAATCCAGGGGTGACCCTAGACATTTCAAGGCTTAAAGTGCAAACAATAAATGAGGTTTTTTTTAAATTTTTTTTTTTTGAAAAGCAAAAATATTAATTAAGTTTTTATATTCAAGTTTTTGTTATTATAGTTGCACTTGATGGTAAGAGAGAAAGAGGGGGGAAGAGAATGATTGAAAAATTATGATGGTAAATTTGAATTTGACTTTTTTTTGGGATTAAGACTTGATTTTTAGTAGCTTACTTTTCCTTTTAGTTTTTTTTTGTTTTCAAAAAATTGAATTTTAAGTCCTTTTAATTTCATGGGCTGAATTAATAGGTCCAATCCACTGGAGTTGAAATTTTTTATTTGAGTTTAAATTTAAGTTTTTTGTGGGGCCTATTTTTTATATTTAGATTTTTTGTTTGAGCTATTACTACACACCTAAAAATTATGGGACCTTCTTTCAAGTAGGGCCTAAAGCCCAGGCTTTATTGACCTAATGGTTGGCCCTGTGAGAATCTTTGAGATCTGCTTTTGTCTTTTAACCCTTCTAATAATAGATACTCTGTAGGTTAAACTATGCAGCTAATGATATCATTATAGTCGGCATGAATTTTCTTTGCTGCTTATCTTTTGGCTGTCATTGTCTCTGTTTTGATAATTTACCTAGCATGCACAAAAATGAGCTGATTCTTTGGATGTGTTCATGTACATTCACTTACAAGCTTGTATTCATTGTGCTTGGATCATTTATTCAGATCTCCATGTATTGTAGCCTCAAGCTGAACCAACTATGACTAACTAAATACTCACAACTAAACCAGTACCCGGTTTGCATCAAATATGTATTTCACACTTGTTATCTTAAGTGAAAGTATAGAATGATGTAGGCCTGCAATAATTATACATATATTGTATGCATCCATCAGGCTAATTGAGATTGGCTTTTGCCTTTAACCGTCATACTGAGAGAGAGACTACACACTTTCATGAAACTATGTATCTATTTATGAACATTATTGGAATCATTATCATTACTACCATTGGAATGTGCTTTTCTTCTCATCTTTTTTTTTTTTCATTGTTGACCTGACATACGCTAAATCTGTTTCAGTTATCAGTCAACCTTAAAACAACTTTTTCAAGAATTCATAAATGGAGATGACTCAAACTCTCAGCTGGCCACGGTAACGATGCGAATAATGCAGGCTCTTCAAACAAATTTGGATGGGAAATCTAAGCAGTATAGAGATCCTGGTCTTACTCACTTGTTTCTTATGAACAACATTCATTATATGGTCAGATCTGTGCGCAGGTTTGTCATAAAGCACATATTTTCAGGTTACTTACTAAAAGAATCTGCTTCTCTTGTAATGCATGGGAATGCTGGAACTCTTAATTTTGTTGTTTCTAGGTCTGAAGCCAAGGATTTGCTAGGGGATGACTGGGTGCAAAGACACCGGAGGATTGTGCAGCAGCATGCCAATCAGTATAAGAGGATCGCTTGGGCAAAGGTGTGGTTCTATTTAGTTAACTCAATGCACAACTGTTGATCTAAAATTGATATGTGGATTGCAATGTTTACTATTGCTGCTTGAAGTTGTTCCTAAAAGCTAGTAATCGAGATGTGTGGTCATTTACTTAACACCTGATTCTACATGAATTTATGAACAGGATTGCATCTTTTTGTTGGTGTTTAATTTGCTTGTGGTGCTTCATAAAACCACTATGCCATTAGATAAACTACTATTTTTAAGCATGGGCATGCTTGCATTCACTGACACACACATGTGCTCTTTCACTATTGTTAATGCCCTTCCCTGTCCTATCTCAGTCCATATGTGAATGTGGTTAACTTGGATTATTCCAGCCAAGCAGATTTATAACTCATTATTTTGTTTTCAAGTTCCTTCCGTTTCCGCTATAGTACTTTTGGTGCCCCATATTCTCAATGTTTGTATCATGGAGATCTGGATGCCATTAGGGTTTAGGACTAGTTTCCTCTAGGTTTTATAAAAAGGGCAGATCAGTGCACAAAGCTCTCACACTGTAGAGTCTTAGGAGGATCAGATGTACGCAGTCTTATCCCCGCATGCAGAAAGGCTGTTTCTGCGACTCAATTCCTTGACGCCTTGGTCCCAATGGATCAACTTAACTGTTACGCCAAGGCCCACCCTCTTCCT